ATTTTTTTTTTTTTTTAATCAAATTAAATTGGTTAATTTGTACCATATTATGTGGTTCAGTCTTATCGACGATATGACATTTAATAAGTTCTCCATTTACGTCAATTTTATTAGTGTTGTCTAAATTGTCATTCTTAAAAATATCTCGAATTTTTGCCAAGTTGTTTTCAAAATCGTTTAGTAACTTCATAACAAGCAATTGTTGTTTTTCCAATTCAATAATTTCAGATTCACTTAATTTAGGTTTCTGTGAAATAAAAACAATTATCTCTAAATATATTATCAGCAATATATCAATGTATATTTTCCAGTGTTAAGTTTTCACCTCCATCAGTTTTTTGATTTTTTCTTCTAATTTATTTATTTCGTCAACAGTGTCATTGGCCTGTTGTTCAATCATTGTTAATTCTCGAATTGAAGATTGTTTTAAAATGATTTTTTCAGGTTTACCAACAACAAATTCCTATAAAGCAACACTTCTATTTGACAAATTCATTCATTTTATAATATAACTTACTGAAAATAATGTATTTTCATCAAAAGCATCGTCTTCGGATGGTAATAACAAAGCCTTGATCAATGGAAATAATGTTGGTTGAGGTGTCAGAAGAATATTATCTGGTTTAACGACTTCCTTCTCTTTAGAAATTCTTATTTTCTTAGATTTCTCAGTTTTTTTATTTTTCTTATCTTTCTTTATTTTCTTACTTATCGTTTGATTTATTATTTTTGTTTTTGAAGCGGTTTCGATTGTATTTAGAATTAATTTTGGCTCTTTGCATATTTTTAGAAATTCATCAAAATGAACTGAACCTACGGGAGTTGAAACCGGTATGACTGTGTCAATAGTTTTAATAACTTTATTGGATTTCTTGGTTTTATTATTTTTGGATTTGATATTGATTTTCACCATTTATACAAATTAATTTAATAGTATAAAATAAAATTGGTATGATAATTTAAAACTTACTTAATATTTATATTTATAGCAATTCAACAAAATGTTTCCTAAATTAATTCTTAACATTGTTATTTTCATTTAATACATAATATTAATATGTAAGGTTACGATCAGTTATTTGTTTATAAATATATATATTTATATAGTGTTTTAAGCCAATATCCCCTGTGTAAAATTCAGTTAATCGGTTTAAAAATAAAAGTACCTATACACATAAGTAGTATAAATAAATAAATAAAATGTACMATTCCTGGCACAGTTGTCTAAAACTCCTGATAGATCCAAATTGCCTGATCAATCTCACATAATCTGTTAACAATGGGAAATAACATCAGAAATGAAATAACTAATATAAGTTCAGAATAACATCAGAAATGAAATAATTACTATAAGTTCAGAATATTTTCAGTGAATGATCAGACAATTAAAATGCAATTATAATTAAAATATTTTTCATAATACTTAAATTATTAATAATTAAAAATTTTAATTGCAATATTTCCCAAAAAAATATTTCAATATTTTCTAATATTGAAATGCAATATATTATCGCAAAATATTTTAATATTTTTCTGATATTAAAATACAATATAAAATCGCAGTATACATATTGTAACATCACAGAATTTGAAGCTTCTTATTAGAATATTATGCCTTGTTTACACGTGACGAGTACTCGGCCGAGCACTGTCCCGTGTGAACTCAAGGAACCAGTACTCGGCCTAGTAATCGGACGAGTAAAATAAGCAGTCTAGCCGAGTGTCGTGTAAAGGTCCCCACACACTGCCGCGGTGGCGGTGGCGGTAAAATTGTACACATATATTTAGTACTAGGTCCACACACCGCCGCGGTGAAACCTGCGGTGGATCTG